ATCATGGGACTTGAATAGAACCTTCTAAGTATCACTTGATTTGATCATGGGACTTTCTTCTACTTATTTTACATTCTCTCTAGCTGATTTTTAATTTAAATGTCTAAACACAAACACTGAAACCAATTCAACTTTTATCTTTAACTGCTCTATTTCACTTTTTTATTGATTTTAAAGTTTTACCCCTAATAGCTAAGCTCGGCACAAACACTAACCTTTGTCACCATTATTTGCAATGTAATAACAATATGAAAACCCACCATTCTAGAGAATTTGGGTTCCAATTCTGATATCTATTGAAATTTAAATTGTTTGGATTTGAAAACCTAATAATATTCATGTTCGTTAGTAACTTTCTCTACCTTCAAAATCTATGCCTAATGACACATTTTGGAGATTTTGTTAGGTGTGCCAATCACTTGTGCACCAAGTAATAAGGGTTGATGGGTGATCTTTACCTCTAAATTTTGGATTATATATAAAAAAATTGTTCTAAGAAGGTTCTACTCATTCTTTTTTTTTTACTGATTATTTTTAATTCACTTATCTTTACTTTTAAGATATAATACATAATAAATTTAAAATTCAAATATTAACACATATATCCATTTTTTTATTTCAAGATGCAATTTTCTTTATAAAAAATATATATCTAAATCGGTCCTAACTCGAAAATTTGCATGGCAACTCATTGTATGTGTTGATAATATCTTAGTATTAGCTAGCATCAACTAAATTAGGTCCCTCTTTGGCTTATTAAGTCATCTATTTAGACTTCCTAGGATGATAAAAAGAACTAATAAACACTTAAAAACAACTAGAAAACCTAAAAAAAAGGGCAAAAAAAAAAAAAAAAAAAACAATGAAATGACAAATAGGTTATAAAAAATTATGTTGCATAAAGTTCTTAAAAAAAAGTCAAAAGTTAAAATCAACTTTATCTAAATTTGGGAAGCACCTAATGTCATTCCAATTTGTACAGATTTGATTAATTTGACAGACCAAAGTAATTTTACCGACAAAAAAGAGGTCAAGCAAATAGGACCAACTTGTGACATTGCCTCAATCAATCGACCCAATTACCTAACCAATAATACTCTCTTTTCAGCTTCATTCAACCTTCCCTGTCTTAATTATTAGCTTAATTATTTTCCCTTGTCACCATGACGCAATCTTTACCATATACATTTGAGAAATTTCAATTATAATAAATAATTCATTAACATTGAAGAAATATAAAATCTTTTTATCAAAACTTATCCAGATTTTATTCTAATTATCAAAACTAAGAATTTAATACTTTTAGTTTGTAAACGACTTTATTTTAAGGAATTCCTAAATATCCATATATAATTTTTAATTTCAATATATATATAATTTGAATACTTAATATAAGAGATTGGGATTTTTAAAACTAATTTGACGATTTCAATTGCTTATCAAATTGAAGGCGTGTAACTAATGAACAACGTTATTATATAAAAAAGAAATTAATGGATAACTTCAAAATTGTTCAAGAAGAATATATAATATGATTCGGTTAACAGATGCTCATAGACACAGTTTAAGGTTAACTGAAAAATTATTTTAAAAATGTGTTAATTATAAATTTATTTTCTTAAATATTTCTTTAATCGGCGTCACTAAACACTGATTAATATTTTCCTAGTTAATAATATGAATAGATGGAGATGATCTTACATATCAACTCGAATTTATTTTCTAAATCACTAATTATTAATTATCCTGTAGTCACTTGAAGGACAACGATCCTAAAGTAATTTAACAAGATTTCAAAAACAAATAGAGATAATTAATTAATGCCAATTTTTTTTTCAAAGCTTTGGGACTATGGAAAATCTAATTTTAGCAAAAAAAAAAAGAGAGAGAGAAAAAAAAAAAAGACATTTAAAACAGTATTAATGTTTAATTAGGTAGGGCCCAAGAAGGTTGAAATTTTGGGTAGAAAATTCAACTTGTTTCTAAGTTCTCTGTGTTCTCCTAAAAACTCCGAATTTCGTTCTCATATAAATTAGGTGACATTTAAAGGAAAGCAAAGGGCCACTTAATAAGTACTAGACAAAGTGTTGAACATTATAGTTTTATTTTATTTAATAGAACGTTAAGTAATTAATTAATTTAAGAAAGTATATATCGTGCATCCAAATCAAACCTTAAAATCTTTCATAATTATATACAAATAAATAAATAGAGTACCATTTAGTTTGTTAAACACAATTAAATTTTAGAAATGATTAAAATTTAGCTGAATATATGTAAAGAAATTAAAAGAAAGTAAACAATTTAAAATATATTGAAATTAAGCAAAATTTCAGTGGAGTAACATTAGTAATTATCAATGATTGTTGAACAGAAACATCATATATCAAGGGCCTAGAATTTGCTGCCCAATGTGTGCAACTAGCTCATAGAAAAAGGCAAATGATGGCCAAGTATTCAGCAGCTCATTTTGAGATTCAATCATTTGGGATATGATAATTATCCATGAGATCATGTCATGCCAGCACTTTTTCTTTATTGCATACCACTATTACCCAACAAAGAATATCATCACTACTTTAAACTATTCTTAATTTTGCTTAATTAAGTTTTTGCAAAGTTTTAACAATTAATTAAATTGTTAACTAGTAAGATTAAAGGATTTTTATTTATTCTATTAGGGTATATATATATATTAAAAATAATAAAATATAAAGATATGATAATTTTTTAATTCCTTTGATGGAGTTTGGCAATATTTGAAATAATAATCCTCTATGTATATGGATCCAAAAAAAAAAAATGATAATTGAATCTTGCTATACAGATTGGTGTTGGTTTAAAATTAGAATATTAAACAAGAAGTATGGTGGGCAGCTGTGCATTTGAATGTTTTATATATGCTTCATTAATTAATCACATGGCATTTGGGTCACCATACATTCAAAGCAAAGCAAACCTGCAGACAGACAGAAAACCACGTTCATAAATTAATTACTATATCTCCCAGCTCTAAGGCCATGCAAAAGGTTTGGAAATTACCCTTCTTTTCTATGTTTATGTTACTTTTACTACTGTAAATGGAGACGGGTAATATATTTTGTTACTGAAATCCCACTTTTTTTGCATTAATAAATTAATTAAGAATCTAATGTTTGCAGTTTCATTAGTGAAATAAATGAAAAGTGCGATTTGTTAGGAGGTTTCATTAAGAAGCATACCATAAATGGTCTCCATGGAACATCAGAGCTGCAATGGTTCAACAATTTAAGCAATTTGAACCCCCCCCCCCGCGGCAATCCTCTATTTCAAAATTCATCACCTGATTAATAAGAAGTTAGTTTGATTGATAAGAATTGTTCGCTTTGATGTAAAAATTTTAAGTTCGAATTCAATCGATGATCACAATTTTATATCAAGTATAAAAATCACCGAATTAAATTTCATGTAAAGTGCTGCAATCTAAATAAACAAACCAATTCAATTAAAGCGTATGAGAAGCAAGGAGGCATGTTAATTTGCACATGAAACGCCCTGCAATCCAAACATGTCCTTGTAATATGAGCCATATGTCTAAAATAGACTATTGTCTTTGGAAATGATTTAATCCCACTTACTAACATATTGTCAATGGGACATTTAGGCAGTGTGACATTTTTAATGACTGGAGCACTAAATGTGAAATGACTTCTTTACCCTTGGAGTTACCCTCCTATGGGAAAAAGGTGTTAATTTGACTTTCCCACCCCTCACCTAGGAGGACCATATATGTAATTACACAAAATTATTATAGCCTTTAAATTTCTCACGAGATTACAAGTATAAGGAAGAGAAAATGAAAGGGAAATTGGATTGCTGACATACGGAAGGTAAAACGTGGGAATTATATATGGTTTCATTATGCCTAAATGATCAGTGGTTGGAATCAAGGTATCAAACACACCTTAGGACTTGGAGAACATTAAATGTATGTTACAAAAAGAAAATATGTATATATAGTAATTATATTAATTATGGCATCTATTATTATTATTATTATTATTATTCATGCAAATATAAGTATATGTTTGTTGAAAAAATATAAATTTTAATATCTTAATTTTTTTGTAATAATTAAAATCAGAATTGTCTTCAAACTTTCTTTAAATTTAATCTCTTTCATTAATAATTTATAAAACACAATCATCTGACGCACTAAAAAATTGCTCTTCATAATTATCAATTAGATAACTCATGTGGGTTTAAATTAAAATTTCAAATTAATATACACCCTTTTTTATTTTCTAAATATAAGAATTGTGAAAAGGAGAAGCAGCTACCTAGCAAGCTTAAGTTTGAGTTTAAAAGAAAAGGACGTGGGGATAGACATGTAATTGTTATATTTGTATCGCGTAAAATATTAAAATTTATATATTTTTATTATATTTTATACGAAAATTTCGTATAACAATTTATATTGATATAAAAATATGAATATATATTTTTTATTTTATCAAATTTATATACGATTTTTATTAAAATATTAAATCTAGTCAATTTTATATTTTATTTTTATAATATATTTATATCATATTATTATCAAATTTATATATACAATTTATAATATATTTATCAAATTTATATATAATTTTTATTAAAATATTAAATCTAGTCAATTTTATATTTTATTTTTATAATATATTTATATCATATTATTATATTATATTTTAAATTATCATATATTTATGTAAACGTGGAAAGGGATTAAAAAGGAAAGTATGACTTGTTGAGTTGAGTCGGGACAAACGCACACGTTAAAGTATTAGTATAACCCCTAAAATCTTCCTTTTTTTTTTTTTTTCTCCACCAAAGAAAAGAAGAAAGAAAACAAGAGTAACAGTAAAAAAGGAATCAAATTAAGTCCCTCAAACTTGTTTTACTTTTTTTATTTTCTCATCTTTTTTCATCCTTTCTCACAACCCCACGTCCACAAAAGAAATACTACTACCACTGCCAGTTTCCTCTCACTCTCTCTCTCTCTTTCTCAAGTGTCATTTTCTCACATATACTTCACACAAAAGAAACAACCATTCACTTCATACCTTCCCATTTTTTCTCTTTCTCTCAATCTCCAATCTCTGCAACTACTCCCCCGAAAACAATTTGATCAAACCCCAGAAATTTTTTCACCTAAACAATAGGTCAAATCCCTTTTGGCTTGATCACCCAAAACTATACACCTCTCATCAACTTCATCTTCGTATATATATAAAGACCTAATCCTTTCGTGGATATATATAGTTATTGTTGTACCACACACGAGAACTGCAAAGAGTAGCCAGGAGAAGAAGGAAGACGAAAGGGACTGATCAGGAACATAAGCAGAGAGGACTCTCAGTGATCGTCTGGTGTGTTAAAGATGGAGCTATTCCCAGCACAACCAGATTTATCCTTACAAATCAGCCCACCAAATAGCAAACCCACATCGACATGGAGGAGAACAGAAGAAGATATGGATTTAGGTTTCTGGAAAAGAGCTCTCGATTCACGAAACTCCATGTCTTCAATGGCAAAACCGGATAACTGCTTCGAGCTCTCTTTGTCGAATCCAAAGGTTTCAGAGTCCAACTCCAACCACTTTCACTTTCTCCAAAACGGTGGCGCCAATTGCAATGGTAATCTTTTCCACGGTTATCACCAAACCCCGTTCTCTCACCATCACAACCAACTGCAACATCCGGTACTGTATCAACAACCGCAGCAACAACAAGGGCTAGGACAAGAGCTTGGTTTCTTAAAACCCATAAGGGGAATTCCCGTCTACCAAAACCCTCCTCCTCCCACTCCTTTCCCATTTGCTCAACAGCCTTTGGATTCATCTTTAGCTTCCTCTCCATCTTCTTTGGCTAGTAATAATACTATTAACACAAGCTTCAGCCCCTTTCAGTCTCAAGGGTTTATGAGATCAAGATTCATGTCAAGGTTTCCAGCTAAACGAAGCATGAGAGCTCCAAGGATGCGGTGGACTACTACACTTCATGGTCGCTTTGTTCATGCTGTTGAGTTATTGGGTGGTCATGAAAGTATGCTTCATTTCTCTTTCTTTCTTCTGTTCTTTCTCTACTATTCACCTTTCCGTCTTTTCCTTCTTCTTTCACCATTGGTTCGTTTGATTTAAGCATATTTGGGAACAGGAAAAAAAAAAGGAAGGATATTATTATGCTAAAGAAATTAAATTGACTTATATGAACTATCATGTTCCTCTCTAATATATTTATCCTCTATTTTTGTGGGTTTTAGGAGCTACACCCAAGTCAGTTCTTGAGCTAATGGATGTTAAAGATCTTACCTTAGCACATGTTAAATCCCATCTACAGGTAAAATAACTTTCTCATCCTTCTCTGATATAATCTTATCGGGGTTTCTACTAGCAGCAGTTTCCTCTAAATGGAAGAAAAATTTAGTTTCTGCAACTATGGTTTTCACCTTATCTTACTTCCTCAAGGCTCAAGCTAATAGTGCTAGCTTGATGCTGCGTTAATGGTGGTAGTAAGCTGAATTTGCATTTGTAAACAGCCTGCATTACCGGAAGCTGTTAACAACATAGATTAAAAATTCCAATGTTTTCTTGCGGAGGGTCTCCCAAATCCTCAGCACTTTTTTATCTACTAGATCTGATGGTTCTGCAAGCTAATGAACAGCTTTTTGCTTAGAAGAATGAACCAGCCCATGTAAAAAAAAAAAATCAACTAAGGAGAGAGAAAGAGTAGTAAACAGTATTGATTTCAAAAAAAAAAAAAAAAAACGAGTAAGACAAAGCCCAAGGAATTAAAAAATGAGTCAGCCAAGCCGAGACAAGTTTCTCACTCAGTTCCATTGTTTTTTTTTCCCTTAAAAATCTATTTTCTTAACACTGAGAGAGAAAGGAAAGAATATAACCAAGTACAAAAACACTATCATTTCTTAATGATATCTTCCTCATATGGGTTTCCTTTAACTTCCCTTTAATAACCATGGCTAAAACCCCACTTCCATGGTACTCTATATATATTTTACTGCTCTTCAATTACCATATATACAACATAAATGCTTCTTTGCTGGGCTGCATAGTCATCTTCCTTTCTTTTTTACAGTTCGTACTTGCATGCACTGTATCACAGCTTGTCTAACGTCTATGGTACAGAGGACAATTTATTATTGGTTATTGCCTTATTGGTCTACTTTCCGGTTTTTGCTTTATTTTTCCATCTTTTAGCTACGCAAAGGCCTACAAGTTGTGCTAATTAAATTTTATTTACCTTACCCATCAGCTGCTTTAATGCATTCTTGCTTGCTCTTACAAGTTATCTTTTTTTTTTCCTATAAATTTTCTTGCAGATGTATCGGACGGTGAAGACCACAGACAGAGCAGCTGCATCTTCAGGTTAGTGGCAATATTTCTTCTTCAGGTTGATTATATATATAATTAATGCATATGTACTGAGTTTATATGTGTATGATGTTGCTTAAATTTGGGTTTAACATAAACTTAATTGTTTAATTAAGCAGGACAATCGGATGCATTTGAAAATGGATCATCTGGGGATACTTCTGAAGATTTGATGTTTGACATTCAAAATCCAAGAAGATCAGAGATATCAGTTCAGCAGGGAAGATCATCATCATCATCAAATGCTCATCAAAACAAGGAGTACCATGGCCTCTGGAGCAATTCATCAAGGTTAGTTTGCTGTGTACCGCAACACTACTACTAGTAGTAGTTTAGATTGCCTATCAGTGTGTCTGTCCTATATATTCCACTGTTTGGTTACTTCCTATATATTCCACTGTTTGGTTACTCTGAAAATTTCCTTTTTCTAAGAAGAAAATAAAAAGGACAATGAATGATAATGGGATCGATGTCACAACAACCACATATACCTAATGTAGTACGATCCTTAGTTTGTTTCACATTTATCAAATTATCATCTTGTTTCGCTTTCGTTGACCATTTTACATTCATATTATACATGCATTGTCAGAAGTACTGTAGGAAAACACACAAGAAAATATATAGTTATACTCTAAAACAGGAATTCTAATAGACAAATATTTTCTATCTCTTATATAAGAGTATATATTTTTACTGGACCTTTTGCTTCTTGATGGTGATAATTAAGAATGTTTGTATTAAAAATAAAAGAACCCATTTCACTCTCCACTATCACATGCAAATACAAACATAGTTACGTGCAAGAAATCACAAATAGAGGAGAGAAGTGATTTCGGAGCTTTGTTCTGTCTGTCAAGTGGAGAGTCGAGTGTGGATGACCAGAAAAGCTGAAACTCCATGATGCCCTGGAGTAATTATAATAATAATACTACTACTAATACTAATACTAATAATTATTATCTGAAATTGTGATGGGTGGATGGGTGTGGTAAAACGGAAGTAAAAGGAAAGCACCACTCCGCCATATCATTCCAAGCCTTGAGAATCCCAAATGACATTTGCACCTAAAAAAAATGGAGATATCTCTTTCCTTCGGATTTTGTGGGCTCAGATATGGGGATAATAAATGGGGCCTACAAATGGAAAACTTAGTTTCAAAGCTAAACTCTGTGATGGCCCCATCAGTGGAAATCTTGGTCTTAAAGTTATGCCATTTTAACCTTCTTTGCGGTCTGTTGTTATGGGTAATGGGCAATCACATGGGGGGGTTCACTTTATTTCAATCAGCATAAAATGTAAAGTGTGAGCAACTATAAACAAGACAGTAAAAGATAGCTTTCATTTCTCAGTTTGCTTTTTCTTATGCATGGCTTCCAATGATAGGAAATATATTCTCTCATTGTGTTGGTTTCTAACAGGGAAGCTTGGTTGCATGGGAAACCAAAGGATTCTGGTGGAAACTTACCGTCTCTTCAGGTACTAATTTCAAACTCTTTTTCCCAAAATAACCTTCAGTTTAAAACTTTTATCCTGTGCTCTGATGCTAATATATATATATAGGAATATTGAACCAAATAAAAAAGTTATAGTAAGAAAGAGGAACAAAATAACTTTTTTGCTCTTGTTTCTTAATCGCGCCATGCACATTCAGAATGTTTTATTTTAGAACTAAATGAAATCGAAAGCTAAACCCCAAATTAAGCTGGCTTTTCAGTAATGATCATTCACAAACTCATGTATATGGGCTATTTAGTCATTTTGGCAGGCCAAAGGCCTAAAGAAAAGAAAGGGGGGTGGGTATTTTTATCATGTCTGAAAGCTCTTTTCTCTCTTTGAAGAACCCTCCCTAGCTCAGATGTCATCATTAATTTTACTGCACTTGAATTATACCTCAAAACCTAATCCCTTGACCCAACAATGTCATTCGTTTGACCTTGAAGGTTGTAGATCAATAAGTCAGTTGGGTCAAATGATGATGAATAATGCAGCAGAACAGTTGTACTGTAATGCTAAAGAATAATAATGGAGAATAGTCTTGGGAGTAGCCCACGGGGGAGGAGACTGTAGCAGGCTTTGAAATTGTTGTACTCTAGCTAGCAAAATTTCTTTTCCATTTTCTTTTAGGCTAACATAAATATTATATTATTCCCTGAGTCAAAGTGTCCTTTGATTCCCCATATCCTAAGTTCCTCAAGCACACTTCCCTTTGTGGCTAGTAACTGCTCAATGCATGCTCATTCATACTACTAGCAGCTATTAATTTATTGCTTTGCTTTATTTTCTTTTGATGATTTCCTTTTTTTATGCAGAAGGATATGAATCCCAAGTGCTTAAGCTATGAGAGAATATCAGATGTCAGCTCATCCAGCCTTTCAGGGACAAGCCCCAAGAAACCAAATTTGGAGTTCACCTTGGGGGTGCCACATTGATATAATTAAGATTATATAATAATTTTTTTTTATATCTTTGTGTGTGTACTACTCATTTTGAAATGATTATATCTCCGAAGAGAGGAGAAGGGATAGCTGGTGAAGAGAATCAGGTACCCGCTCACAAAAAAATCAGAGAAAAAGGAAAAGAAAAGAAAAGAAAAAGAGAGCTAATGAAAGACAAGGAGACAAGAAAGATAGAAAGCAACAAAAGGAGAAGAGGGTGGACAAAAGCACGTCCTTCATATCAAGCTGTGAGATCCAAATCAATATATTATATTCCTACGTAAATATGAAATCTAATTGATTTTGTATGTTCTGCACTTAGGGAGAGAGAGAGAGAGAGAGAGAGAAAAGAAAAGGAAAAGGGAGAAAGAGAGAGTGACCTTTAACTATCTTAAAGTATGAAGTGATCCTTGGTAATTGTAATGGAGCACTTTACATTTATAAAATATTTTTAGCCTATTTTTACCAATGGGTGAGTTTGGGGTTCTATTCTCTCTATTCTTTCCTATGCATTGCCACATGCTTTACACTTTGTGAACAAAGTGGCTTTGAAGATCATATGAGCTAGGAAATATAAAGGTATTACCTTAAAATTAATTGTGTAAAATATAAAAAGAAAGAGAGAATGGAAAGCGAATTAAAGCTTTCAATTCCCTTTCTTAAAAAACACATATAAGCAAAGTTTATAAAAAGGTCTAGTCAAAAGGAAAAGGGCAGAAAATAAAAACTAAATAAAGTAATCTCTTTTCTTCATTTTTCAATTAGTTCTTTTGGTTCCTGTGGTTGGACTATTTATACAACATATGGGTGATTAACCTTTTTTTTTTTGCTTCCATATGATCTCCGTGAAGAAGGGAAATTTGATGTTATACCAATATCTATGTATTATATCGATAAAATATTGAATTTTTAATTTTAGTAATAATATATAATTCATTCTCTAATCACTTCAAATATAAAAAAAAAAAAAAAAATCAACGCTATCTGCCATCAAATTTTATTAATAGCCTAAGCTATATCTAGCTGGAATTATCTTTTCATCTTTTCTGATATAGTGAAAGAAAATCTTATTAATTAGGATGCTACAAATTATGCGTTTTGAAACCAATTTTCTATCAGATAATGACGAAATTCTACTCCTTTGATGGTTCCCTATTGAACAATATTCATTGTAATCATTGCCTTTGTCATTGCACTTAAAATTAAGAATGGATAAAAGCATGGATTTGATGTGTAGCTTTTCAAAAAGATGATTGAAGTCTGTGTGAGTTGCAAATTGCCATGTCTAATTGCCGAGGGGAAGCTTCCTTGAAAGTGTAGATAAGCATTTCTAACAATGGAGAATTAATACTTTAAATTGCTTTTAATCCCCTGATGAGCTATGGTTTGGACTTTTCAGCAGTATTATTCCACATGTAGCCTCTAGCAAATAAGACAATTTTTCATGGAGAATTAATTAACTTTATTATAAATCTTGGAATTTTGGGAAGCCAAAAAATTTCATGGAGTGCTGTTAAAATTAATTGAAACATAGACCCAAATAAGATTTCTTTAGAAAATAGATAAATTAAATACTTCATTAATGCAAGCTTTAACCACCTTGTTATGATCAAGAAGACGAAAATGTTGACATCAACAGGGTGTGAAGAACCCCACAACACTCCTTTAAACACAAAAATCAAACAGAATGATTGGAAAAGAGCAGAGAAAAAAGCATATATGGAGAAGGATAGGGAATTTAAGACAAGAACATATAGTCTTTTTGTACAGAAAGATGCTTACCGAAAATTTGTTCTCTTGTCAGATGTTTCTTTCTATAAGCATAAAATTTTATGCCTTCGGCTTTATATATTAGGCTTGAATAATTTTCAATTTGGGAAGAATTCTTCATGTTATAATGTTAGCTTTATGAAGTATGATTACCAAAATGGGTCCAAATATTTGTTGTTTGGTCACAAACATTGATTAAAGGACCTCAATTTTGAAGTATCGAAAAGACTGAGGTACCCTAGGATTAAGTAAGACATAATGAAAAGCATTCCTTATTAAGGAGTTTCAGGTAAGCTTATGTGTTGTTCTCTTGGGAAAAACCAAAACTGATGCGCCACCCTCCAAAACTTGGCAATCCTAAAACAAGTAAAGCCTTACAAGACTGGCAGTTTCAGATATCTATATGCACGGTAAGTGCAAGACAAAGAGACATCAATTGGGAACCGTGGTGGGAATTTTTGGTCAGTTATATCCACACTTCCATAAAAAAAATTTATATGGTCCAAAAGCTAGAATTGTACAATAATGACATGCTTTTCTTTCAACCATTATCACTTACTAAAGCCATGACTTTGGGAGCAGGAAAGCTTTGTCGGATTTCACTATATATTTGACAAACAACATTATGTTAAATGAAGCAACACTACTAGAAGTAACATTTGTTGGATTTAATTAATTAAAAATCTCTTGGAAAAGGTAACTTCTAAATCTAAATGTTGTAGCTTTAGTGGTAAACTTTCATCTAGGGTTGTTTTCTTGGCAAATGGCTCAACCTTTTGTGAAATATTGCATATATATATATATAGTCTCATTACAACTTTTCTTTAGGAGGGAAAAGATAAAGAAAATGGACAAAGGGGTAATGAATAAAATCCTTTGGGAAAATGGAATAATACTTTTGCCTTGCTTTGGTTATGTTAGTTGAGGACTTTAAGCTTTAAGCATTAGAACAAATGGGTGAGGAAAAGTGATTGGATAAAAAGAAAAAAAATGGAAGGGGAGAGTGATTTAGGAGAATAAAAGTAGGAATAACTTTTCCCTTAATTTTCTTTCTTGACTTTTTATTTGCTTTGCTGAGGTTTTACACAAAGGGGTACGGCTTAAAGCTTACAGGCCCCAGTGACACACACATCCATCTTGAAAGCCATACATATAGCAGCAAGATGTTAATGGAGCTGACAGATTAACAAATCAAAATTAAAGTAATTATTAATCGGTCTCTCCCTCAACCCCCCAAAATAAAATCAAACTGACTAAGAGGAAAGAGACATTATGGGACTTAATTTTAACCAGACAACCCATATGTATCAAATATAGCCATCGCCAAAAATCAAAGCAACCAAAAGCTATTAGGAATTTAATAAATTTCAACCTATAAAACACCAATTCATGCTATTTTTACAACAAAATTTAAAGTGAAAGTCCTCCCACTCACTCACTATCTACCATACATATATATATATATATATATATATCTTCTCCATTCCCCACCTTTTTTTTCTCTGTTACAACGAAATTCAATTGCTAAATGTTATTAATTAGGCTTAAAATAATTAATAACACTTTTTTCTCAGAAAAAAAAAAGAAAAATGTTGTTTGTTGTAATTAAGGAGCCATGATATGAACATATATGTTTATAGAACTTAATTACACTTTCAAATGAATACTCAAAAACAAAAGAATAATGTCTATATATGAATATTGATTATTATAAGCAACCAAGCATGCTTAGATTTAAAACTGACTTAACTTAACTTGAAAGTCATCTCTTAATTATGACTAATTTGTTAGTTAAAATTAATAATAAAAAACTTAAACAAGTTTTAACAAGTAATTGTTGACAACCTTAACCTTAACTATATTGATTGGTTTTGATCAAAGTAAAAAGCCTTGTTTCATGCAGGCCAATGCCAAAGTATAGCATGGGATTTAGCTTTATCTTTGCTTTTGCATGGACAAGTGATCAATGACCGAACACCCACTTGCTTGCCATAACATTTCACGGAAAAATATTTTTACTTACAACTAACAAATTTGTCAGTCTTTCCTTTTTAAAGTCACATATAGGACAACAGGTAAACCAGAGAAATGGACCCCCACTCTCCCTATCGGCACTCCCCTGGTGCCGTGCGTGAAAGGGTAGTAGGGGGGGGGGGGGGGGCTTAGACTTTTACAGTGGACTGGACAGGACATGCAGAATGAAACAAAGGAAGAACCGGCTGTCTTAATTTGTAACATGATGTATTTGCTGATGCCACGTTACTCTCCTCTCTTATTTTCTGCCCCTCTGCATGGTAGCTTTTTAGCAATTATTTCCGTCATGATTACACACCTCTCCCCTACTTTTCCCTTTGGTTTTTTTTTTTTTTTTAAATTGACATTAGATATGCTGAGATAATGCATATTTTAAGACATAATGAAATACCGCAAACTTATTTTACTGTGTGGAGGAGAGCTAGAGTTCGGCTCCAGCTGATCTATTTCCCGAGCCATATTGTTGGCTTGAGGCACGTGCGAAGCACATGATGATTGATAGTGCTAATTAATTAAGAAAACTAAGGGATACTATAAAGAATTTTGGAAAATTTTGGAGATTGAACTGAAATTTCAGCATTATGCCGCTTTATGCAAAATGTGTTTCGGCCATAAATCAAATAACAATTGGAAGAATCGAATGCCTTGAGACAATTTGCATGACTTTTTAAAACAATACTAATCACCTTGATCGTGGCAAATCAAACAGCACGTTCGTACTTAAAAGAGATTAATTAAGTTAATTATATATGCATAATTGCACAAACATGCATTTATATGATTCTAATTTTTCTACCATGGAATTTCCTTTCCGACACAATCGCGAGGGTATTGGCAGTGCTATGCTTAAATTGTCAAACGTCCTCTCGAACATTTCTCATCCAGTAAGAAACACTAAGTTATCACTAATCATGAATAATAATAAGTTTTTAATAACTTTAAGCTCATAAAATAGACATGAAAGATGAAGGTTGAAAGGAAAAAAAGAAACACTCATGAAAATTCTAATTACAGATAAACTTTTAGGATGTATTTGGTATATAAAATTATGATAAAATATATTAAGATAATATTATAAATGAAATTAAATTAAATAATATCATTCTATTTTATTTATCATCCTAAGCATCAAACATAATCTTAATTTCTAAGATTGGGTTCGATTCATCAAAGATGAATTTAAGTATAGCCTTGATTTGATCACCCACACTTTTTTCCTCCCCATCATGTATAATCATATTGTGATTCTCTGAGTGTAAGCTGCCCACATCATCTATTTAGATAGTCCTTGATTTGATATATTCCTGAAAATATATAGTTGAAGTTTCACCAGTTCATTCATGAGTATTATGACAGAACAACTTTTCTTTCCCTTTATTTTATAGCTGAAAATTTAGAATTTGAAGAGCCCTAATGTTGATAATAATAGGGTATTAATTAATTCTTCTTTGATGGCCATAACTAAATCAAGTTAGGTTATTTTATTTCAAATGTCAAACTCATAGAAAAGGGTGCTATACTTCCGATTTAATTAACTAACTACTCTTTTGATTTGAGGTCACCAATATGTTGATTAGTGCTAATAAAATTCAATAAGGGAAAGTCAATTCCCTTTCAAAAAAAAGAGGGGAAGAGTTCATTCTTATCACTCACTGCTGAACAACAAATTCTAATCTGTAATGCACTTGAAAACAAAATGTCTTATATGTCTAGTATGATGGAAACCCTGAATCAAATAGAAGAGATTAAAAAAAAAAAAATCCCCAAGATCTCACCTCTATCTATTTAATTAAAAGTGTCCCCAAACTCTCTCATAACAACTATACCGGGACAGTAAGTTTGATGCTAAAATTGTGTGAAAACAAGAATTATGGCAACCCTAGGTAGCATATGCCACATTGTCACATTTAATTTATAATATAAACATGTTCAAGAAAAGAACAAGTATATGTCCAAATAGGATTAATTGAATAGCATTGAATTGAAGGAGATAGGCCTTGGGGTAATATTATATATGTACCTCCTAAAAAAGGAAGAAAGAAAAACTCAAGTATATTAGTACCATTGTTTATTCTTTTCGACAATTTTCTCTTATTGAGCTGCCATTACTTCTGAAATGTCTCATATTCTTTAAATCCCTCAATGGCCCCAACTATCACTATAGGCAGAGTACCACAGTATTAAGTTTCAAATTGACCAAGGCAAAAGGACATTCAACTCACTGTTTGTCCTACTAGTGCATATAGCACAGTAGCAGTACCCAATGCCCTAAACAATGACCATATTCAATGAAATGGATTGGTCATAAGATTTAAAAGGTTGGATAAGAAAAAGGAAGCACACTCATCCACCTAAAAGCATAAATCAGGTAGATGTTTCGAAATTCAAAGAGCTGGAAAAAGAAGAAATAGAAAAGGGAAAGGTGAGAAATAAAGAGCAAGTGTACAAAGACAGAGAAGTATCAAATAAATAAGCAGTGCAGTGGTGGTACAAGTAAAACAATAGACAGAGACTGAGGCTAAATGCCTTGAGCTACTCAACCCACATCAGTATAGGGAAGAGGGGCCTCACTGTGGGTGGTTTTTTGTGGTCAGAGTCAGATCAGATCAGTAAATTCAGTCATTCATTCATTCATAAAATCATAGCTGCATTGCACTCAGCACCAAGCACTGTCATATGCACGTATATTCACAAACACAGTCCACAGAATGTCAAAATAATTATTTTATCATCATTACACTATCATTCAGTCATTCATTCTCGGTCCACGACTTTTACACGTGTCAACATTAGGTTGGCTTGATGTGGACGACTAGAGACCCTGCCAGCCATCGGATTTATGGGGTTCTTGAGTAAGAGGAAAGTGACTTGTGAGGCAGCGACGACGACGCTATTTTTGACGTACCTCGTTGTCAACTCCAAAAATATTTATATAAAGAGAAAAAAAAAGCTTTTTCCTTTTTTTTCATAATTAAAATTATTGCGGTGATTGAGTAGCTCGAGAACTTTGGCATGAAAAAGTTGTAGTGAGCGAGGACCCGTGACATACTGTCACAGCAGGATGCATGGTATATTCATGCAATAAAACTTCTTTTATTGCATTTTGTAGCAGTTTCTATTTACAACTAATTAATTATTATTCGTACCCGCCTTCTAGTTTTTCGTTTTTTATTTTTTATTTTTTTCTTAATTAATTTCTCCTTCAAATAAAACTCCATTTTTTTCTCCAAATTTTGGCCTTTTAGATCAATCGAGATCATCCAATGCCAATTTCAGTATGTTTTGAGAGGCTGTCGGTAATCTATCAATAAGTAATATGCATTGTGATTTTACAAAAAAATCAATTTACACAGCAAATTTTATAATATTTTTAATTAAAAATTTCAATAAATTAGGCAGATGAAACAGATAAGTAAAAAATATGAAAAAATTATTTAATTTTATTCCTTGGATATATTAAAATTAATAATTAAAAAAATATATAATTTTTTTTTAATTTCATATTATATAAATTAATCCTTCCTTCATGATTTTGAATTATTATTATTTTGTTATAATTTGCAACAAAATGGGGTAAACCTGTAATATGTTATGGTGAAGGAATAGATCAATAAATTATTAATTGTGGTCAAAACTCAAAATAGTTAGTTCAAAATTACTGACTACAATCCCAAGAATTTGATCTTTGTAATACATTTATTATTATAATTAGAAAATTGCAGCTATATTATTACTAGGCAAAAGCACATTGGTCCAACAACAACTTTATGTGTTGGGTTTTCAGATTTCGTCCAGCATTAAATAATTTTGACCTTTTCTTTGGATGCCAGCAAATGTGTTGTTGTTCCTCGAACCCTGCAAATATGGCTGGATACATCTGTATGCTTTTATTATTTCCACAATAAATTTCGGATAACAGTGTAAACATTTTACCGAGAGCTGAACCCTCGTTTGCATAATTATTTATTAAATTTAACAAAGATTATGAATAATATTTTACTATTAGTTAATTAAATGAATAAATTAAAAATATAAAAAGAAATTTGTATTCAATTCATTTATATTTTTAAATATAATAAATATAAGAACATACTTTTAAGGCACTAATCAAAATAAATTTTAATATCAAATCTGAAGTAAACTAAATTTAATAAAAAAGAAAAATAGAAAATAATAAAGCGGGGTATATATAAATTGAATAAAAAATAGTAGATATTAATGGAAAAGACAAAAATAAAAGAAAAATTATAATACTAGAAAAGTAACAAAATCTTACAACAAAGGTATCTGTTCCCATTCATTCTCACATAGGAAGTGTACAAGTGTGTTTTTTTTTTTTTTTTGGGTTTTTTTTCTTACAACACAACGTAAAATAAGGCGAGAATCTCGCGGGAGGCAACGGCATCATTCTTCATTTCCATGAGAGGACAAAAAGCATGTCATAATAATAATATCCCCATAAATAGAATATATATATATATAGTTTTTATTTAATATTAATTCACACGTGTCAAAATGTTGGACCCACACGACACAAGGGAAGGACACGGTCAAAGACATACGGTCACTATCACTCTATCAGGATCAATAGGAAAAACAGAGGGTGGGGTAGGGAAAAAAGGGCGCGAGAATTGAGGCAAAATCATTTTGCAATCCATTGCTTTATGATTGACCTCTCACTGACAGCGCTGTCAGTGTAGCAGTAGCAGCAGAAATACAGAAGCAGAAACCCGGCAACAGCCGAAGTTCTGTCGTTTCATTCATCTAAATCTATTACGGGTAGGACGGGCAAAGTGATGGCGACCATACCTTCCTTCCTTTGCCCTTCCAAAGGGCAGTCCTGTCTTTGTCTGCCTGCAGTACTCAAAACCGGCTACTACGTACTATATACTTGTATGACTTTGCTCTAACGCAGCTAAATATAGAATTAAAACCCCTTTCAATCTTTGATACAATCAAAACATTTCTTTATTGCTCTTAAATTAAATTAGTCACAGCCTATGTCTTCATAATATATAGGAAAAATTATGTCATATTCTTTTTAATTTTTATGAGAATTAAAAAATCATTAAATATTCTATTAATGTGTATATATACAATAATAAGACATTAAGTCTTATATCTCATATTCTAAGATCAGTTATAGGAAAAATCAAATAAAAAAATCAATGAAGGATTGAAGTGAGCATTAAACACTTAGAGGCTGTTTGCTATGTTTTCTATTTACTACATCTTCTCATTAAATAACGTCTTTGAAGATATAATTTCATATTGACACCAAAATAATATTCCAATAATGAAATATTATCAATATGGCAGATTTGATATCCTCTTAGCAAGTTAAAGGTTAAAAAAAAGAAAAAAAGAAAAAGAGTAGTGTTGTTCATTCATAATTAGGAGCTTTTAATGCATGGTGAGGGCATGATGTGACAAATGGAGAAACATTTTATCTCTCATTCACTCTCCCACTTTTCCACCTATTTTTTGTTTTTTGCCCAGATTTTGTTTAGAAAAGAAATCAAAACCCATCTTTTTATTCATTTATAAGAGACCAGCTGTTTGATTCTTTTGGTCTTTATTTTTATAGATTTTTTTTAGTATGAAAAGAGTAAATTTGGATATTTGCACCATCTTATACAAATACCAAGGATGACTTGAATTGAGATTATTCATGCAAAGACTTCAACCTGAAAAGGCACACAACAAAAGCATCTTTATAAATTATAATTACCATGCATGTACATAAAATGGCAATTGATTTTTGCCATTCTTCTTTATATTTCTTTACTCTGAACCAACAAAGGTAAATATGTAAAGATGCTTAAAAAAAGTGTTCTGTTCCCTATCCAAAAACGAATGCTTTCTATTTTGATGATGGTGATAAGTCGTAACTCATAAGCTCTGGACCTCTTTGAACTGGAATGGTTTCTAATTTTTTATCTTTTTTTTTTTTTTTTGTAAAAAAAACTAAAGCCATTGGAAGTCTTAAGCTTGTTTCTGTCTCAGCCCACTTCTTATCTCATGACTGAAGCCCAAAAGTTGAGAAAGCTGGTATTATTAAACATCCAACAGACTTGATATGGGCTGAATGTTAAGCCCAAGTTTAATAGGCAGAACCCAACTTCAATTTGTTGGATTGAGCCTATTACCCATTAGTTCAAAGTATCGTCTCTTATCCACTTTGTCTCTCTCTTTCTTGATCAGATGAAGTAAGCAATGGCTGGTGCGTTTGCAAGAGCCAGTGCCACGCTCTGCTTCTTATCGCAAAATCCAATCAAAAGCCTTCATTTCTCTACCGGAACACATTCTTTTAACTTTCCGAAACCCAAAGTTTCTGCCTTTAGATGGAATTCTGTGAGACGCATCAGCCCACTCCATGGCTTCTCCTGCTACTGTTTTGACACCACCACCTCCCATTATGAGGTCAGAAAAAGAAACTTCTTTCTTTTTTTTTTTTTTTTTCTTAAGTGCGATGTGTTAAGTTGTAAAGTTTTTTTTGTTTTTTGTTTTGTTAATTCAGGCTTTTGATTTTGGTCTCAAGTTTCAAAATTTCCTTTTTTTTTTTGGTCTTTTTTGTGTGAAGTTGTAAAGTTTTTTTTTTTTTTTTTTGGAGTTTAATGTGTGTAATAATCCAATTAGGAAATAAACAATCAAGATTAGAATCTAAATTCTGACAATACGGATACAATTGGGTCACTAGAAAAGCAGATTCTTCTTTTCAGGAAGAGAATGTTATAGGTATAGTTATCAGTAAAACCAAATAACTATGCCTATCGAATTCTACTTGTGCCATTGGGATTCATTTCTTAGATTGACTGATCCCCATGTAAGATAAAACTTCTATATTGACAATCTCTTGAAATGAGAAGGAAACTTTGCAAAATGTCCGTCCATATGTGAGTTCATGAATTTGAGAATGTTCTCTTTTGATTTCCCAGTCATTTTTACCATATGGGTTTGTTGTTGGGCCATACTTATTGCGTGGAGCATGTTACAGTTCTCTGATGGGTCTTCTGAAGTGGAACTAAGGTTGCAACTTGGCAGCCAAGATGTTCAAAGTGCCAAAGATATATTTGTGGATGCGGATGGTACTTCTCTAACTGTTAAAGTACGGCAGGCTGGATCCTTCATCACACTTTTAGATACTAATAGTCTGTTTGAGAAAATAAAGCCTGCTGAAACAATATGGTTCGTGGAACTGAGTATGAATGAACTTATACCATTATAGATCGTTGCACATTTAGATTTACTGTATTGTCTTGAACAGGTATATAGACGATGATCAACTTGTTATTAACTTAAAGAAGCGGGATCCGGATTTGAAATGGCCAGATATTATGGAGTCATGGGAGTCGTTGTCAGCCGGTTCTCTGCAACTCCTTAAAGGAACATCAATCTACATTGTTGGGGATTCGACTGAAATTAACCAAAAAGTCGCTCGTGAACTTGCTGTTGCTCTTGGGTATTTCATCTACGTTTCACCAATCCTGTTACATACCTTTGCTTCTTCTTCTTGATAATTGACTTTCTTATTTCATGTGTTCTTTTTGTGAATCTTCCTTTTCTTGCATGTCATCCTAATTTCAGCAGATAGAAAAGGAACAGTCCTTGTTCCTCAAATTAAGTTTACAACCTTCAGTAACATAGTAATACTCTAGGTTAAGTTATTAAAAGCAAGAATTGTATCGTTTCTTTCTTTACTGTATCTTGATTTGTGGTGGATGATTACAAACCAACTTTTATATCATATGTGTCCTCTGTCCTAACCATTTGATTGGATGGTATGACTTTTTAGGTACACACCACTTGATACAAAAGAGTTGTTAGAAACTTTTGCCAAGCAAACTGTTGATTCATGTGAGTGCATTTTTTTTCTTTTCACTAAGTGTTGATTACTAATCATTAAACCTGTTTCCCTAAGGCCCAAGAGCATGCACATGACTGAACCTCAATGGTGTCCCGCATTCTCTTTCGTACATAGTTATATACGCGCATGATACATGTTAATATGAAATGACTTCAAGAGCTAGTGGTCTGCAAACTCAAAGTGGTATCGCTTAAACATCTTACAGCTATTAATTAGTTTGATCTGTTACAGGGGTGCTTGCTGAAGGCTCTGACTCTGTGGCTGAGGCAGAAAGTGCAATATTAGAAAGCTTAAGTAGGTAAGGCATGTACCTTTATTAGTTTTAATTTTGTTTGTCATTAGATACATATAAAAGGCCTCATTTTGGCTTTGCTTGTTGCGGCAGTCATGTCCGGGCTGTTGTTGCAACCTTAGGAGGGTCACTTGGGGCTGCTGGAAGGACTGATAAATGGAGGCATCTTTTTTCAGGGTTTACTGTCTGGTTGTCACAGACTGAAGCTATAGGTAAATTTGTGTTTGCCTTTTATCCATTTATTTATCTCAGACAAGCTACTGCGATCAGTATTTTTCTTTCTGCTAAGTTGTTACAAACAATTTTGGGACTGATTGATTTGCACATGGACAAACTAGGTGAAGGAATCCTCTATTTTGGGCATTTTTTTTTTCTAAAAACAAAAAATCAAAGTATTATCTCCTAAGTCAACTAAAGGTTTACTTTAAGCTATCGTGATATATGCTTCAGGTGCTTTAAATATCTGATTTTAGCTGGTGATAAATAAAAAACTGCATCCATAATTAACTGAATTTTTGCTGTTAAAGTACTTTTAACTGTAATTAGGACCTTAATAATTCTAGGACCTACTGGATGCTCCACGTCTTGAGTCTGGATAAAGTGCTTATATACAAAATTTCAGGCTCATGGTGCACATAAAAAATAGCTCTACTAGAATGGTTTTTCTTAACTCCTGAAGTTCCCTATGCAGATGAGGATTCAGCAGAGGAGGAAGCCAGAAGGCATATTCAAGATGGTAGTCTTGGCTACTCCAATGCAGATGTGGTTGTGAAGCTCCAGGGTTGGGTTGCTGACCATGCCAAAAGTGTAGCTCAGGCATCCTTGAGTGCCCTCAAACAGTTAATTCTATCAGACAAGATACTTCCAGGTATCTATCCATCAAATTATAAGAGTCCATAAATGGAATGCGTCTTGTGCAAAAGCTGACAAAGAGTAAAGAAAAGATATTTTTAGGTTGTGGGGGGAGAGGATTGATGGAAAAGAAAGACTGAGAGGGTGTCTCTTAATCTCTCTCCTAATCTGAGGGTATAGCTGTAACTGATATCTGTTGACCTGCATACTAAAGGTAGATTAGGCAGTGATGTCATCTCTTTTCACCCACGTCTTGCCTGTTTGTGGTTAAAGTTTTTGATGAAGGCAGATGTTCCTAGAACTGTATCACTACTGAATTGTGTAAGAAGAAATCATAAACTTACCTTCTTCCCATCCAATTCAACAAGTGGTTGAGTTTAAAAGCATATTATTATAATAAGGTAATCAAATGAGAAATATTTGACCTTAGAATAACTGTGAGACAGCATCCTCTCTTCATCTACTTTTGCAATGTTTTCTACCATGTAATGTAGCAGAACTAGTCCTGAGACAAGTACATATGATATAATATAATATAATATTATACAAAATGAAAGACACTAATGTATGACAGAATCAAGTATTTACACTTGGTCAGCCATTCTTAACCAACCTGTGGCTCATTATTGTTTTCTGCTTTGTTTTCTTGAAGGTAAGAAGAGCCTTTATATAAGGTTAGGGTGTCGTGGGGATTGGCCAAACATAAAGCCACCGGGATGGGATCCATCAACTGCAACTGGTGGTATAACTGATGTACCACCTGCTACATTGCAAAATTGATTAATATACAGCGAAAATAGTAATCAAGTAAGGGATATTTTACTGCTTGATTCTTTTTGTCAAGTTACCTAGTTTCAATGTAATTTTCCTTGGAACTTTTTATGAGCTTTTATCTACGGTACATTATCGCACGAAACCGAGAAACAAGAAATGGGATCGAAAAGAAAGAATCCAGGAGGACGATATTTTGCTTTAATCAAAGAGGGCTTTTTTGTCTACAACCTTATGGATAAAGCAAGAGATTGGACCATCATTTCAAGCCTATGTGGCTTATGCCCAGGCAGGCCCATGGGCAATGGGAAGCTCAAATTTTACACAATCTCACTTCAGCACACTTTCTTTGTTCCCGACCCAAGACGATTGTTAACAGAAGCCTTTAAAGGATGAAAAAGAACAATTTTTAAGAACAATTTTTATGAGCTCCACTGACAGATAACAATTCATATTATTATGTCCTATAGAATATATAAAATATTTTATTCATACTATATTTTATATAAAAATATAAAATATAATTTTTTATTTTATTAAACTTATTTATGATTTTTTTAAAAATTTAAATTATTTATTTATATCATTTTCGAATTATGTCACACTTCAAATTATTATAGTCTCATTAAATAAAAGAATCATCAACAGAATCAGATATGAACACAAAACTAGATGCAAATTTCTAACGATTCATGCCATGAACAACCTTCAATTCCACTCTGAGTTACAAAGACCACATCTACCCCAAAAGACACAAGGTAGGGGAGAGATTTGCTTTGCAGTTCGACGCTACCCCCTCTTCAATATTGAGTGTAAAGTTGTAAACCCCTAACGAAATCTCGTTCAAGTTTTGATTACAAGATAAAGATGGAGCACATCCACGTTATGAAAAACTAAGATAGGGGCTAGGAAGCCAGTTCAGATGAAAACAAGTCTTAAGTTTAAGCATAGCCAAAATACTTGCTACCAGTGAGAAATACCCAGCAATTACACCATTTATAAAAAAAAAAAAAAAAAACAGATCTAAGCCGTACAGTACATTCAGACACATTCTCATCATGTCGACGCATTTCTATAACATGCACCAAGGGACAGAACCCGATAGCACCAAATTAAATGACTGCAACACCTTCGAGGCTACCATGCGGCACAACATACCATAACAAAATAAAAAATGGTAACTCAGAGGCTGCCAGGCGCCTTCATGTTCTGCTTTGCCACCTCCAATTCATGCCTAGATGGGATCTGCAAATTGCCAGAAAACTGGTTGTAGTGCTATTACATTGCAGAGCCATTAATACATGCCATAAAGTTTAAATCATACCTTGCATTGCAAAGATGTTATCGTTGACCTCAACAAAGAATCTCCAACTATCAATCTCAATTGCTTGACAAAATCGTCACGACTTATCTTCTTTGCCTGATGAAAGAAATAATAAAGAAGAATCAGAAACCTTATTTAAAGACAGATGGAAACTATCAATTAAACATATTATTGAGCATACCCTGAATAGTTCATAATGATTAGCAACTTGGTCCATATCCATAGGAGGAATTTTTTTTTGGATAGCAGCAAACAACATAGGAAAAGGCATCCAAGGGGATTTAGGGGTCTTTGAAGTATTTGAACCCAGGCTAGGATCATTTTCTTGGGATCCCCCTGAATTTGGAGTTTGGTGATTAATACTCCCCTAAATGACAAGAGAATATCAGCAGTACACACAAGTAAAACTCATAAAAAATATATATTATCAAAACCACCATATTCAGGCTGCAAATATCATGAGCAAAAAGGCGGTTTGAGTTGCTGTATGACATAAAAACATAGGAATAAGGACTGCCTCATGATGCAGTGACTCAAATTACTCTCTTCCATTTTAACATTATTCAACATTATTTATCATATAAATACTATAGAAACATGTCGCAGCCTATCACACAAAATAATTTGCTAAATCTACAGCTTCAGAACACATATTTCAAAAGTTAGCTTTGAGAATCTGAGTGCTCAAACAGCAACCATCTGCTGCACACTGTTGCAAGACGAAAGAGCAGACAAATGAACCAGTAGAAACCTAGCATCTTTCAGAAACTCAGGACCTCAACACAAGCAATATGCTGCTATCTTGAAATTTTTGCAGATTGGTGGATATTTTACAGCTATTTGAAACGCTTGCCAAACAAAATAGAATTCCTCCCATTTGTGCAAAAATCATAAACCTCATAATGGCAGAAAAAAGTATCCATAAGGTCTCAAGAGACTGCCTTCTGACCGAAGACAAAATCCCACATATACACAACTAGGTGAGCATCCGCCACAGAGTAGGAAGCAAGCAATGGTGAGCATCCGCCACAGAGTAGGAAGCAAGCAATGGTGAGCATCCTACTTATCATTACAGTACACATCACGATGTTCAGCTGTATAGAGAACTTAAAAAGCATACCACATATATTACTCACCAATTCAACCATGGGTACCGGTAAATGACCTTTAGGTCCTTCCGAAGATGCAGTGACGCCTGAAAAAGCATGATTAGTCTCACTTCCAATCAAATGCCCTGTCAGAAAAACATTAACTTCAAGAGCTAAAGAACTGAAAATATTTCAAGAAAAAAAGAAATATATGATAGTCATAAAGAATTTGCAGAAGACATAGCCAACTAACTCATTGAAACAGTAGTTCACTCAGTGATCTCTTGAATGAAAAAACAAAAAGCCCCATCAAGAGGAGATACCAACGCGTCATGGAAGAAGCCTTGTTTCTTAAATTAACAATGTTAGATGAAAGAAAGGATGAATGTATAAATTCATCAACTAAACAGCATCCCAAGGAGAAATATATCACCTTTAGCATTGGAGGAGAGCTTGAAACTAATAACAAATTCCGGATAAATGTGGGTGTTGATATTCATATTCCATACAATATAATACTTTGGATGCTGAAGATCATCCACTCCACTATCAACATCCTCACTTCTAGGAAGACATTGTCCACTTCCAGGGCGAAGAAGCTCCATCTTTCCCATTATTACACGACATAATATCATGTACTGCACTCCCTTTTCATCAACATCACAATAACTTGCACTGTACACATAAAAGATAAACGTTCAAATCAAAATCACCACAGTATGGAAAATAAAGCTCGAATATGTTAAATGAGATAAATAAGGAAAAAATTCATCTGGTTCGGATTCTAAAAACAAGTGACAGATAAAGGAAGCATTGAAGACAACAGGCAATCACTAGCCAGTGGCAAATGTTAAAGAGATCAAAATGTTAAAAGAGATTAAAGATAAAAAAAAAAGAATGTAAACCTTTATCATAGCAGCAAGAAGTATGCATACAGTGTAAACCTGATAAGAACGTGAATCACAAAATGCAACATAAAATTTTCCCTAAATTTCGGTATAGTGGAATCTATAAACCTATTAATGCACAAGGTAAGATAATGTACCCTTTTGGGACAGTTAACACAAGGAGTAGAAGAAAAAGACAAGAGATGGTTCAATATGGTTCAATTTACTACATTCTAAGCACCTAAACAACCAACGCTCATTATAAGGTAAAAATGGACTACTAACTTCACCATTTTCCATGAATTGCAGAAAAGTTCTTCATGTGTACTTTATTTCCAAAAGGCAAGGTAGCTCTAATCCTTTTGTAATCACAAGGACCTAATCATTTACCTTTGGAGGGCAAGAAGGAAAGGTACTTTTCTTGATTTACAAATATTACTCCATTAACAAATTAAAATAGAAGCTTCGCAGCATTTTCTGAGAAGAAAAAGCAAACAATAAAAGAATTGCATATTCAAAAAGTGTTCATAGCAAAAACAATTTAGAAGAACTCCAACCAGGCATTAGTAAATTCTGCTGCAGCAAGATGAACACCAGTGCCATATATGTGTGGAATTGCAGAAAGATCACAATGCCCAAGCCCATGCATCATGATGATAGGCAGTGCTGCTTTAGATGGAGCAAGCCAAGCATATTGAATATTTGCATTCCCACGATATTTCTTCATAATTTGAAGCTGCTTCTGGAAACGCTCTAATCTATATTGCGTATTGGAGCAGGGTTTTACATAAAAAATATCCACACCTCCACAAGGGTTCATACCCATGAGAAACATCTTCTCAACAGTTGAAGAATCCAACTGTTCATCCAACTCTACATCCACAAACTCATTTTCAGGGACTAAGTTTATCCTTGTCTCTTGAATATCCTCGACAGGTTTGCTGGGTTTTGCATCAGCATTCCTATTACAATTATCCCCAACTTCTACTGCACAATGACTGGAAGCAGGTTTCTGAGCCATTTGAAAATGTCTAACCAAAGAACTTGACTCCCCACTACATTCCTTCAACTTTGATTGCTCAGCACCATTAATGTCAATCTCAACCTGTACCTTAATCTCAGGGGGGACAAACGATTCACTAAACATGGATTCTTGATCATTCTCATATTCATGTTCGCAAAACTGATATGGTTCATTTTCTGCAGCAAAAGTCTCTGGGAAGAAACAACCATCAGCCTCATCAATCCAAGCAATCGGTTGTGTCACGCCAGTTTTCTGGTCCAATCGAAGCATATGCAAGAAATCTAGCACAAAGGATTGACCATCTATCTCAAGCTCAATAGCTGCCTTCTTTGCTTTGAGATCTTTCCTAATTGAGGCAATGAGATCCTGGGGAAAATCAATCCATTCATCTTTCTTAAAGAACATTATGCGCTTTGGAATGCCTGTTTTCTTAAAATTTGAATAGCAAAGCAGCAAAGATCTTTTTGAAGGATAACCACAACTGACAAATTTTCCCTTGCGGTCCTCTAATCTCCTCCGCTTGCCATGTTTCTGGGATGATAAACTCATGCCGGGCAACTGTGGTAATATGACATGTGAAGCTACAGGAAAATATGTTGCATGCTGCGTAGCCCGCTTTCTCTTCGCGCTGTGCAGAACCCCAGGCTTACTATCCAATACCATGGCGTTCCGTGTTTCCATTTCTACCTAGATCAATCCCTATCAACAAGTTTAAAACCAAAACTTCTAATGTAAAAACGAATATGAAATCTAGCCTTCTATCAAACCCAAGGAAACTGTCTCCAAAAAGTTGATACACAAATCCTGAAAAAAAAAAAAAAAAAAAGGTCAGGACATTAAACAACACAGATATCAAGTCACACTAAGAGGAACGTAAGTAACAAAATTTCAGACTGAAAACAGCCAGTTCATCAAACAAATGGATCAAAGCATATGAAACCAAACTCATTAAAATCGCTATACAGCAAGAGGAACACATACCTAGAACCACAGTTAGCGTCGCTCCCGTACATGTTTGTGTCGCACATGTTCATTTTATACATGTTCCTCGTCTTTTTTCTTTACAAGATTAATTCACAGAAGAGAAACTCACTTCCTTATTTACTCTAAAGTAGCCCTGCCTCCTATTGCATCAAATAACAGCACCTAAGAATATTGTGGCAAAGAATCTTATAAAAATTATGGTTCAACAATTTTTTGGTTTCTTTTTATAAGTGTTCAAATGTATAAAAGAAATGCACAGATTTCTTCTTTTTTTTCTTTTTCTTTCTTTCTTTCGAGTTTCCGAGCAACAAATTTTACAGATCAAACATCACGTTGACCTTAAATAAACCAAAAAATTTTCACTAAAATCACAAAATTAGATGGATCAGAGTAAAAAATATTATTATTATTAATCACATCACATAAATCTTAAAACAGGACAAAGGTTGACCAGAAAAAAATGAAAAAATTTTAACAATATAACAAAAATAATTACGAAAATCTGTAAATCAGAAGCCCCGTTGACCTCAAAAAGCATAATTAAACAACAAAAACTATTCCAAAAATTTAAATCTTCGCTGATTCCTGTCAAGAAAATTGAGTAAAAAATAAACGAAACTAAAGAAAATCAAGATGCAGAATAATTTCTCGAGATCAAAAAAACTAAAAGGAAAAATAGAAATTAAAAAATCGATCTAAAACATATTTTCTCCAAATTAACAAACTACTTGTCTCTCTAAACAAAAACAACAAAAAAAATATTTCAAAAAATCTGGTAATTTCTCGTAAATACAGCGAGATCGAAAAAATTAAAAAGAAAATAAAAAATCAACGTAGAATATATATTCCCAAAATTAACAAAAAAAAATCATTGGCCCGAAAAACTGAGTCAAACAACAAAAAAAAAAAAAAAAAATTAAGATTTTAGGAAATCTTGTAATTTCTCGCTAAGACTGCAAGATCGAAAAATTAAAATGAAATCATAAAGCATATTTTCTCAAAATTAATATACAATAATATATTTCTTGATCCCTAAAAAAGCAATATTTACAGAAATCAACCATCACAACAATGAATCATCAACAAAATCAAGTCAACGCCCCGCAGATGCCAAGATCTGGCCAATCCGCACTCAAAAATCCAAATCAACAAAAAAAGAAAAAAAATGAAACCTAAACATAAAGAAAATGAAAGATATTACCTGCGGATGAGATAAATTTTGTAGTGAATCTTTTTTCAGAAGAGAGGGTTTTTGTTTTATTTTTATTCGTTTATTTCTTATTTCTTTTTTTTTTTGGATAAAGAGAAGGGAAGGAGAAGAAGAGAGAAAAAACATAAAAAATCGAAAACCCTAACTCGAAATGAAATACGACGCCGTGTTAAACACGGCTCTTTCTCTTAAATCATCAACGTTTCATCGCGGGAGAGTGAACGTACACTGATCTGTCACCGTGTCGGTTTTGATTGGATCCATATAAGATGTTTATTTGATTAATTTTAGATGGGATTATTTAAAATTAAACTAAATATCTTATTTTAATTTTATTAATTTTAAAAATTTTATCGATTTTAAATCGATTAGTTTATTAATTAATCAAATAATAAGATATACTTAAATAAAATTATATTTTAAATTTATGACTTTTTATAATTAAAAAATTTTAATAAAATATTTAAATATGAAAGCATTAAATTAAAAAATTTAAAATGAAATGATATGTTCCTTGCATCTTTAATTTTATATTTAAATATCTTATGTTTTGATTAAAATTTTAATTAATTTTTTTAAAATTATTTTAAATTAAAATTAATTTAATAATTAATTAATTAATCAAATTAAATTATTTCGATTAATTAATAAGATTAAAACTTATATATAAACGCTATTAATTGACTCGGTAGTTACAAGGGATAAAACTTTTGATTGGTTTGGGTGCCAAAGAGTTAGTTTTCGGTAATGAAAAATCATTCAAAAGGCGGTTGTTACGAAGCTTTACCACGTGCCATTGAGATTGAATTTGTGTGGCTGAAAAGACATTTCTTTCTTTTATATCATAAAAACCCTCCATTTGTGTTGCATTTTAATTTTTTCAGTTTGTGCATCTGCTAAATATAAATAATCTATAATTTAATTAAAAATATTATGCATATAAAATAATTTTAAATTCATAATTTTTAAATATAAATAAAATTTTCGTATCAATTGATTCAAACATCAGTTGATATATGATTTATAATTTTGTATCGACAAGGATAAAATAATTGAAAGAAGGTGGGTCCAATTGAAAAGAACATACACTTCGTGAGGAATCTTTTAATATTTGATGAGTTGTCTCTTGGCCAAACCCCGAAAAAGGAGAGGGTCCATTCTATAAATACTAGTACTAGCAAATACTTATTTGCTAATTTATGGTTGTTGGGTTTTAATAAATTTGGTTTCGGACTTCTAGGTAAAGGCCAAGGTCCCAAAGCAACGAGAAGCTTCCTTCACCTAAAGAATACATGTTTTACACATAACTGGTTTTGTTAGGTAAGGAATAAAGATGTAGACTAAAGCTTTTTTTATTTTCTCTGGTTGGATGCTGATTCTATAGAAAATAATTGTCCGAGTCAGCTCAGCATCATCAACTTGTTGCCCAAGTACTTGGCCAACAAAAGAATCTTGTTGCCCAAGTAAACGACTCGACCGACTCCAGCCGAATAAATTCTACGGAACACTAGTTTCTTCTTTTGCCGGCTATGACTATGAATACAAAAGCATCCGATTTTGCGTATCAAAAAATAAATTTAATAGTCAACATTTTATTCATGTAAACCGATATGCTTTTTGATTTTAAGAAAGAGTGGGGTCAGATTCTATGAATTTTTTTTATCGTATTGTTCACTCTACTAGATGGAGTTAAGTAATTTTTTTCTTCTGATGCCCGTAGGAGAAGGCAAAAAAACTAGTATAATGTGGAGTTAAAAACAAGAAAAGAATGATGTTTATGGTGACAGAATAAGCAAGAAAGATAATATTTTACAAGGAGAGAGGGACTGATGGAACTTTTATTGGAAGCAACAAAAACGCAAAAGTAAAGTTTGTGGGGGACATAAGAGAATGGATGAAATGATTGTGGTGTGATGGGCGTTTAGTGTTGCAGTCCTTGCAGTCTGGTCTTTCCCGAAGCTCAAGCTGTGACGTTTCTGTGGGGGACATTGGATGGTCTTGGTCTCTATTCATGGTCGTCCTTTGGGAACCTACCTTTGGGCCTGCATTTCGAAATGGCATTGCTACATTGGGCTAATTGCTGGGCTAATTGCTGGGTCTGGCTATGCGGCTTCAGATTGGGAAACCCCCAGCCCTTATTTACATGCCCGTTAGATGTTTCTGACTGTTTCTTTTATTTGACTAATGCCTTTCTTTATTAACATGTGGAGAAGTGATTCAAACCTCCACTTTTGCAGTTTTGCTGCAGCTTCCTTGATTTGTTCAATTGTGAAAATGCCGAAGAAGTCATCATCTTTTACTGCATTTATGACTGCGTATGCAACATCATCTATGCTAACAGATGGAGCCAAGAGCAGATCAGATGAAGGCTTGGTAAAATTCTTTGCAGCATTAAGAATTCTCTCCACTGGTTCCCAACCAGATCCAGTGGAATCTCAAAACCATCCGCTCTTCTCTTTCCATAAATGAAACCTGGTCTTAGGACAACACCTGAAGTCAGTAAAAAAACAGTTAGACACTCAGTAGAGAAGGATTAGTACAGAAAATAGAGGAAAAGCGAAGAGTGTTGATCGTAAAAAAGAGGTCTTCTAAGCACATAGCATTAGATACAACATGTGGACGTGGACATGAGGCATTGATGATAACACTTCTTCAGGAGTTCTCACTTATATGCTACCAAGTTGGCTACTCTCCCCCTTTTCCCTTTCCTTTGTGGTCTTAAGACTAGTTTCAAATAAGGTGAGTGCATTAACATTTTTAAGATTGCTTGTTCTTCCTTAAGTGACTTTTGACATAAGTGATTGCCCCTACCAGCTAATTGTTTGCAAGAAATTTCTATCTTGCAATTAGTTCTAAATAATCAGACAGGCATCTAAAAATCTTCCCAAATGTGAGCAAGAACCAGTAAGGTTAGTCATTACAAGTTAACAGAGTTTGGATATTTGAATAGAACTTCTGATTCTGCTTTCCTCTTTCCTGTGAAGTATCCGGATGATAGCAAAAATGATGGTAGGATGTAATCATAGACTGAGATTAAGATAAACTTAGGAATCCCTGCAAGGAAAGACAGAAGACATAAGCAAGAATTTAACTTAATGGTTTAATTGGCTATAACTTGATCACTGGCAATCCTTACCAAAATCCTTCGCATCATTTACAGCTACGACATTAGCCTTGCCATTAATTCTCTTCATTTGTTCTTAAATGCCAAAACCACCGAGAGTTCCCCAACAAGTACTTCATCTCAGTTTGCATAGAAAACATCTTCTATGTAACAACAAAATGAATTGTTAAATTGCATTCACTGACAAATGAGGAACAAGATGAATTGTTAAATTGCATTCACAGATAAATGAGGATAAACTAAGAGTCTAAAACTAAGATGAACGGAACATCAAAGAAAGATTTTGTATAAACCAAAATCCAAGGCCTGTGGTGCAGCAATGGTCTACTCAAAGGGCAATAAGACCAATGCAAAACCTATGCAGCAACAATGGAGACATATAGCTCTCTCTTTTCAGTTGAAAGATGAAAATTTTCTAGCGATATTACTTCTTGAACTTCTAAAAGATATTAGCTATCCATTCAATGTAACAACAATTACCAAGTCTACAAGCAAAAGAGTTCTTCAATCTTGAAAGCTGTGGGACTTTCCACATTAATAGAAATGGTAAGATGCTAAATGCTATTCGAGGGAGAAGAAAACATGCCTGATATCCAATTAACCTGATCCACCCGAGAACCTGGGTTAGTCGGACCCCCTGACCTAATGAAACAATCAAAGTTTAAGAATGCAAAAAATTATGACAACTGTTTCAAGTATGCAATAATTTTAAGCTCTCAATCATCACTCACAAAAGACAACATAAGCAAGTCAAATCAGTAGGACAAATTTTCTGACCTGCTTAGTCTTATATACTGCAGCCATGCATATTGCAGAGCCGACAAAACCACTTCCACCTAAGACAACAACCTAATAAGGAAAGCATGTTGGTGAGTAATCTGTTCTTATTAACATCCAAAACATGCAGAGTTTATCATAAGTCCCGCCCAGACATACCCGTTCGCTCTTGTCATCACGTACAAGGTCTATTGTGGTTGATCTTGAGTCATCTCTGATTCCTGCTTCTGCAAAGCTACATTTCACACCAAACTTGCACAAGCTGCAATCACATTAAAAACATAAAAAAGAAACGCTTTCTGTTAATATAGACTTCCAAATAACATTATAGTAAATATTATTATATTCATGAAGAAAATAAATATTTGTGTGAAAGATGAAGGACCTGTTCAGAGGAACTGAGTTGGGGCGAGTTGGTAAGGAAGCTGCGCTGCTTAGAGAAGGGAGAGGAGGGGAGCTGTAACGGCAAGGAAGGCACGAAACGACGTCATGTTGATGCAAGAGGAAAGAGGGAAGCAACAAGCATCGATAATCTCGGAGAAAATATTGCTCGCATCAACTCCTATGCTTTAAAATTTTTGAAACCTGAATTTACCATACTATCGCCGTTTTTTGCTTTTCTTTCAAGGTCTTGGATGTACTTTAGGATGGTGAAGAGGCTCGTTCGTTGCCATTTGATCGTTGAAGGGTTTAAAAGAAAAGGAAAACCAGTTTTCTTTTCTCTCAAGTCTCAGCTTTGTCAACTCACTCGCCTCTCTTATGGAACCGGTGTTAGGGTTTGAAGCAGAAACGATTGCGGCTTATAATCTAGAGTTTTCGTCATCATCCACATCAACATCATCCAACGGCTACAAATTGGTGCCGTGGTTAAACTGGGCCGAATGGGAATCCGTGAAAAACTCTCTCGTCCTCTTCTCCGGCCAAGATTTCCTCTGCTCTCTCAAGAGTATAATGCTCTCTCCTCTATTATCCTGATTTTCTTTGAAAATGCTTTTAGCATTCTCATAAAAGTTTCTAATTTTATATATCCACGTCGCGAAGGAGAGGATGTTTATCAGTTGTGATTGATGTCACTGCTTCAATCATTGAAATTCAGTGGAGCGATCCTTTCTTCCGGTAACCATTTTAGATATGTTAGTATAAAATATGACTCGACCCAATATGAATACGTATGAAAATATTATCGTATAAAATTTTAATAATAATTATATATAAATCTAATAAAATAAAAAATTATTTTTATTTTTTTATGTTAATATAAATTATGACATAATTTTGATATAAAATATAAATATAGGAATTTTAATATTTTACGTAAATTATTTATTCATAATAATATG